CATTTCCCATTCCTTCAGCATTTAGATACTTATCATTAGCACATTTGATTTTTGTCCTCTTTCTAGAGTTAAAATCTATCAGTCATTATTTATTTCTAATTAAGTGATTTGAGCAGCCACTGTCCATATACCACCATTCTACCAAATATCCACCATCAGATTTACAAACCATCAATATAACAGGTTCATCATCAGATTCACCTTTGGCTATGTTTGTTTCCTCTAATTTTCTTTCCTTGTTTGACCAACAGTCAATAGCAAAGTGACCAAACTTCTTACAACAGTAGCACTGAATCTTCTTCTTGTCATACTTCTCATTTGGATGACGTGTATCATGGTTGGGTTTACGGGCGTCAGCCTTGAGTTGACGGGCGTCAGCCTGTTAAGAACCCGTCATGACAGCAACAATAGTGTATTTTGTCGCGTTTTCGCTTTATTTCTCTCTGTTTTTGCTCGTATAAGTCTCCACTTAACTTGTACCTGAAATACATAAATAATATCAGTGTGATACAATAAAAAACACGTAAAATTTATGTTAGAATGCATGTGAATCGAGTCAAAATACACTATGTGTTTTCGTGTTATCAAACTCCTCTACACTTAAACTCTTGTTTATCCTTAAGCAAGTAAGCTAGCATAAGAACAATGAATTTCAGCAGCATGATAGAAAGACACAAAGCATAACAAAGTATCGAAGCTACTCATACACGGATGATAAAGATTAGCTCGGCTAGGATCGACTCAATAGCTACTTATGCAACACTAAGGGTATTGTAACAACACAAACCACTCTCGTGGACACAAGTTTCCCTCTTTATGCATATTAGTTTCAATTAGGTCTTTGAATAAAAATCTAAGTTCTCTATTTGTTTTGATCCTCTTTCGTTCGTGACAGTCACATTAAGGCTTTTTATCTCTCATCTTACATTTTAGGCGGTCTGTTAGTGATTATGATCCAAACATCTTTTTCAATTTTTCAATTTTTTTCTCTTTTTCAAAGAGGCATTTCGTTCTTTTTAAAGGATCCAATCACTTCTTTTGGTCTAAATAACTGTGTAAGGATCACCTAATTTAATAAATGCAATTTATTTTTTTTTGTTCATCTTTTTTCTTATCAATGGATCTTCTAACTAAAAGAATGATTACACAAATTTGTTACAGTCTTTTGGTTTTATACATCAGCCTTAACTAAAATGAAATTCAAATGTAAACTAAATGACACTCTAAATGTAACTGAAATGAATTACAATCTAACACTTTTTACTTGTCTGGTTACCAAACTTGGATTGCTTGAAATACAATTCAGTTTGAGAGAGGTGTTAACATATAAATCTTTTGTTTTCAGTTACAATGGTTAGTTATTCTATTGTTATAACCAACTGTCTCTTAGAATTTATTTTCCAAGTGATTAAAACATTATGTTATATAAACATGCACATTCTCTAAAACACATACTAGTAGTATTAGTATTTGTTAGAAAAGCAACATATTTGTTTAACTTGAGGAATCCTTTTTGGGACTGGGTGTTCTCTCTTGTGTTCATATACCATTTTTGGAAAGGATGTGGTTCTGTTTGACAAAGTTGCATCTTAAATTTAAGGTTTATAGCACATAAACTTTTTGATCTGACCTGATCAGAAGGGGATCACTGGCTGCCACGCGTCTTTGACTTGCTGCCTGTTCACCGGTGTTAAAGAAGAAGAGGGGGGTGTACCTGCAAGGCACTCCGATGCTAAAATAAGCGTATGGGCAGAGTGATCACAAGTACAGAAAAAAAGGTAAGAAGTGATTACCTGACCCTCTTGGAGAAGAGGGTATTTATAGAGAGACCCCAGCACAGGGCTAACGGTCATTTGAGTTGGGCTGCATGGCCAGGCCCAACCCAAGTGACTGATAGGGCTTACGTGGCGTAGTGAAGACCAGAATGTGGTCTTCGCCCTAGTTCAACTGCTCCGTGAACTCTGGAAAGTGGGTTGACCTGCTTTTTCGGAGGTGGGCAATTGGTGGATGACGTGTCCCCGCGGAGGGGAGCACGTGGAGAACGTGTGAAGAACACGTTGTTTTGCTCGACAAGGGAGAAGGTTCTGCCCGCGGAGAGAAGTTCTGCTCGACGGGGGCAGTGTCTGACCGACGGAGAGTCTTGTGTTCGACACAGATGAGGCAGGTTCTGCCCGCGGAGGGACATTACCTGTCCGTCGGGGACCATGTGCTCGACGGCTGCGGCCCAAGCTGGATTGGGTTTGGCATAATATTATTGGGTTGGGTCTGTCTGGTCAAGCCAGGGCCCAGGTCAGAACACTTTTTATTTCTAAGTGTGATAATCACTCAAAAATTACAAAACCCTTCTACTAAATTTTCAAGGCTAAAACGAAGTGTTTTATTTATTTATTTATTTTAAAATAATTGTTTTACTATTTTCTTCTTTTTTGGCTTTAAAGTATGTATTATTAATTTTTCAATACTATAAATTTATTAATTAACTTATTCTAATAAATAATATTAATTTTATCTTTTTTATTTTTATTTAAATTGTATTATTAAAATCAATGTATCTAAACATGTTCATCGAACTTTCAAAAATGACAATTTAATTTTGAAAAAAGACATCAGTAAAATTTTAATAGTCTCTCTGTCTAAAACTAGTTATAATTTCTCTTTCTATATAAGATTATCTACATTTTCTGAATTTGTGTAAAATTAACATATAATTTTAAAGATTAAAATTATAATCTCCATGATACTATTTCAAAGAACATTATTACTCGAAATTTTATTTATGTCCATGTTAGACAAAATAAAATAATTTCCTAAGAATATTTATAAATTATATTTAATTTAAGTTTTAAAAATAAAATAAATAAGTTAAATTGTTTAGAAATGAAAAGTTTTGAATAGTTGCTTATTCCTATTCCTATGTAAATGTAAGATTCTAACCATATAATATGGAAACAGGAATGCTATGTTTACACCACATCTTACACCCATTTCCTACACCGTATACACTGTTCACCGTATTTATACGGTGAACAGTGTTTTTTTAATAAAATAATATATTTTTTTAAAATATTAATTTTTTAAAAAAAAAATATTTATTTTTAAAATTTATTTTATAACACAAATATAAGATTGCGTATTAACCAATTTTACAGTTGCATTAACCACAAAAATCTACATCATTAACCAATTATTTTACCTATAATTTATTAACCACTTTCACTATTTCATTAACCAATAAAATACATACTATTAACCATATTCTGGAAAATTTATTCACGTATTTGTGAACAGTAAATTGGGTGTAGAGTGTAGGAAAGAGTGTAAAAATAGCATTTTTCAATATGGAAATAAAAAAATTGATCAATCAATATGTAAAATAAATTTCTGAAAATAAAAAGTTCATTGGCATAATTTATTTAAACTTTTAAAACTTAAAACAAATACGAATGAGATAAGGGTGGACAATTGATCGGTTGCGGTCGATTTCAAATCCAAAATATAAATTTGACGCAAATTACGGTTTTATTTTTATTGTTCAATTTCGACCGATAAAATTTTGATTTTTGTCAGATTCGATTAAGTCTGTTTGACGGTTTAGTCTAGCCAGTTTAATCGATTTAATATTTATTAGATCAAACCAATAAAAATGATTTTCTTTTATAAAAAAAATCAAATTTTTAGAATAGTTAAACTATTTTTTTATTATTAAAAAAGTTATTATTACGTGATAATATTTTCAATATTATTTGACATTGATTTTGATCATCAATCATACTTTAAATTATAAATTAAATAATATTCAAAAATTTATTTTGTATGTCTTATATTTTTTAGAATACATGTTATAGTGAGTCAGAATATAGTAATAAAAATAAATAAAATATATATTAAGTTTGATCAGTTTCGATTTTTGACAAATCTAAAATAAGCATTCGAGCTCGACCGAAGCTCGACCGAATCAATCTTATACTATTCAAATTAAACAACCGAATCAACCTGACATCCAATCTATTTGCACAAAAAGAATAACAGAACAAAACAACCGAATCAACCCGACATCCAATCTATTTGCACAAAAGAATAACAAAACAGATCGATCAGTTTCAATAGAATGATTCAAATTTGTCCGACCCTTATCCCAGACCCAGCCATCAAAAAACAAACGCCCATTGAAAAGCAATATTCTCCTCCATACTTGGAACCAAAATTTAAGAGTATAAGCCTTGATGCAAGATGGCAATAATATAATTCTAAGCATTATGTAAGCTTCGATTCGATTTTAATGGATTGTTTCAAAAACAAAACATTTAGGCTATATAGGATAGAATGGAATAATATGATAACTTATGTGATTCTTTTGTATGAATTTATAAATAATAGATAGAAGGAAACATGATGAAATTTATTTCATCCAATTTCCCTTTTTTTTTCCATCCAATTGTATCTGATATTTTTAATAAAATACTCAACAATTAAGTAAAATTTATGTTCAGTTCCACACCTTTATTCCATTCAAACATAGCCTTACGTTCAAAATTTAAGTTATCATTTTTATATTTAAAGATGTACAACAGATTGAGAATTAATTGAATGGCTCTAAAAATTTCAGATACAAAAAAAACATAAATAAAGCTAAATTCCTAAGATAATACAAGTGTCTTGAAAGTTATATTGGATTGAAAATCTGTGTTGTGCCTATTGGAAGATTGGAAAGCTGTTTCTTTATCATAATTTAACTTAAGTTTGAAGTAAAAAGATTTAAAGCTGTCACTATTCAGAATTTTTATGATACACAAAAGAATTCATAAAATAGACCAAAGATTAAAAACATGCAAAACAACCAAATTTCACTTCAAGAACAAAGCAAATACGTCCACATTCGATTAAAAACATAAAATAGTATCAGAGCTTTCAAAGCAACCCTATAACTAGATAAGAGAATACAAGTACTGAGCTCTTAACTCAACATAAAACATGACATGTAGATCATAGTTTTTAAGCAATTATCTCAACAGATCAAGCAAGTTCCACATGTTACAAAAGAACAAAACACTGCAAAGTTTACAAACTACGAGGGACTTCACGAACATATACGAACTTGAAGTTGAACAAGCCAGGTAGAACATAACAGCATCAGTGCAGTAACACCTTCCTGATTCACGCAAAACAGTTCTCATTAAAAACAGTCGACACATGAAAGTAATACAAAAGCATTTGTATTATCAAGCAAGATCTTACCTGAATTTTGGTGTAGCATAGTCAACAATCTCCATGGAGTATAAGACAGGTGAAGACAATAGAAAGAAGCAATGACCAAAAGGCGTAAATGGGACATATACGGGTTTAAGTGAACGGTGAGTAACATACAGTGTGACAAGGATAAAACCTACAGAAGCTAGGGCATTCATCTACAAAAGACTATATAAACCAAACCCTTCCAGCTTTTCTTTGTAAAAAACAGAAAAGATGGCGAAGGGACAACAAACTTTGCCCTCATAGAGGGAGAAACAAAAGATAACTAGGAGAGAAGGATCTGAAAGAAAGGTAGTAACTATCTACGAACTTGTAAACAGTAGGTCACCTACAAGGCTAGAGGAGTATATATATGATTCGAAACGAAGCAAAAAGAAAAGAAAAGAAAAGAAAAGAAAAGTTTAAAGAGAGGATTAACAACCAAAGGATTGATGTTTAACGAGTTTTGTAAGTTCAAGATTAGATACAACCTAAAGTATGTACTAAAGCAAGAGGTTTAAATCCTTAATCAGATTAAATTAAGTTAATCATTCTGAGAAGAAACGATGCTGTGAACTATATATTTCATCAATATAACAAGTAACTTTCTTCAGGCCAAACTATATTCCATCATGCCACTCCCACCTATTACCTTCATCTCTGCCTCCATACCATTTTCCCTGCAGCTTCCATCAATGTCAACTAAGTTACAAACCAAAACCTGCTCCAAGAAGAGCTTTACATATACACCCACTTACCCTTTTTCCACATTCAAACCTGATCATATTTCCAAAATCTGGAGAATGTCACCCAACCACAGCCATTAATCATTGTTACCAAGGGCACTACTACATACACCACTGCTGAATGCTACACAAACTCAACCAACCAAACTCGTACTTTTATTTGGCCACTCTATATACACAGCAAAACTAACACTAACCCAACTTCATTAAAAAAAAAGGACTTATTTACAGTAACCATTTGCTCCTTCGAGCATCATTCATCATCCAAGTTAAGATTGAGAATGCGACGAAGAGTCTTAGTCGCAGAATCATCGTTAACAAAGAAATCTTTAGCAAAAGGGGAATCCTCCTGACGAGGGGAACAAGGTGCAGAGTAAGCAAACTGACGCATTTCAATCTCAGGTAAAGAAGAAATAGGAAGCTCAAGAGACACAGTCCTCTTAGGTCTAACAGAGAATTTCGGAATAGGCACAGAACTCGGCGGTGGTGAATTCGAATAAGTAGGTCCAGCCCATAGTTCCGAAATCAAAAAACTCCCATTAGCATCAACAAAAGCTACCTCCTTTCTACAACTATTGTCATTGATAGGAACAGGGGCACTACTAGGGGCATCTTTGCAAAAAACTTTCCTATCAGATTTCGAAACCGGAGTACTTAAAGGTGTTTTCAGATTTATATCCGGCGAAGCCGAAGTACTAGTTTTCAATGGCGTTGGTAGAATACCAGACCCAGTTTGAAAAGTTCTACAATTAATACCCTTAAAGTGACTTGAAGGCGAAGATGAACCAAATCGTGGCGACTTAGATCCACTATAGTATTGGTTCCTATGCTGAGCTACAACAACAAGTGTCTCCATTTTTCAAACAAAAACCTTAACTTCACAGAACAAAACTATAGATCTCACTTCAAACCAAGTTCAACGTATCAGAAACCAAAAACAAAACAAAATCCAAAACGATGTCGTTCCAGTGTACTAACCCACGTATCTTCTCAACAACAAAAGGTTTAGATCAACCAGATCTAATTTCTCGAAACCTGCGACGATAACAAAATCTCCGACACTGGAAAACCAACAACAACATCATAATCAGACTATATATATCATTAAAGCATGAAACAAAACAAAAACATGGGAACGATTGAAAAATCATGAATCTAAAAGTAAAATACTAGGAATGGAAATTTTTACGGTGAGGAAGTTAAGAGTGAGAAATTACCGATTAGTGAAGAAGAGAGACTATGTTGAATTTTCGTTGAGGTTTTTTAGGGTTTGTGTAAACAGTTACATAAAATGAGAAGAGGAGAAGAAAGTGGTGAGGGTTAGAAGAAGGGATCTGAGAAATGAAAGAGTGTGAGAGTGAAATGAAAAATGTATTGAAATTGAAAATTGTGTGTTGGGGAAATGGGTCTCGTTTTGAGGATATTTACGAAAGTGACATTGTCTATTCTTCGTCCACTCACCAAGTAAACAGACGCGTGATGGATGAGTATGTGGTATTACCATTTTAGCCTTAGGTTTTTTCTTGTTTAGTGAGACAGATTAAAATATTTTTTCTAAATGAATAAATATAAACGTAAAAATAATATCGTTTGCCAGTAGGAGAATATAAAAATAAATAAATAAAATGTCATGTTTATAGACGCTCCAAAGGTATTATTGTTAACGAATTAAATATATATATAAATTCTACATTGAAATTTTAAAAATAAATAAATTCTTTAAAAAAAAACTATTCATAAATTTTACAAAGTTAAATACACCACTTTTTTGATTATCAAACACAATCAAATTTAATTAGCTAATAAAAGAATTAAGATAGTTTACTATTTTTTTTCAAATATTGTAAATTTCAATAAAGGATATGTAAAGTTACTTTAATCAGATTTAAATAATTGGTTGAACTCTTAGTTCTACTTTAATTTATAAGCGGGCATAATTAATTTTTAAAAACATTAAAGTTATCTTAGCTTGTGTTGACTTGTGTCATAATGGTATAGTATATTAATAAATAAATAATTTATATTTAAAAGTAAGTCTAAATATTAATTATAGATTTTTAATAAAATTTATATATAAGTTAATAAAAAATATATATTTAGCTCTTACTTGATGTCTTCAGAACATAAGTCAATATTATTTTAAAAATTTTATAGTATTTTAAGATTTTTCTCAAATCTCAATAAACTTTTATCATCGAAACAAATATAAAAAATTATTTTATTTAGATTTAAGTAACTATTTTAATATGTTAAGCCAAATATGAATTTGAGTCTTTTAGGTAAATTTATCATAAATTTAAAACTCGAAAACATGAAAATATATGTTTTTGTTACATAATAATCTATTATTTTAAAAGAAAAAAACTATCGATATTATTAAAGACTAGACAAAAGCACATGATTTTGTACGATTTTAATAAGAATCAATATTAAATTAATTATTAATTAAATATATAATTAATAATATATTTAATTAAAGAGTTGTAGCATATGCAAGTAATATTAAATAATTGATACAAGTAATATTAAATAATGATGTGTTTTTTTATTGATTATCTAAACACTTTTGATGGTAATTTCTCTTTTGGTGATTTCAAAGATGGAGCTAATATTGTTTATACGATTTAATCTAATCGTTCATCTTCTTCATTTTTGATGTGGTTGAATCACAATCAGAAAAATACAAAAGAGAAAAATGCATCTTTGAAGCAAACGAAAATAACAAAACCAACAAAAACTTACGTTGAAGCACTTTCGAATGTGTGTAACATTCTCTCATCTCAGTTACCACAAGCTTGCCTAAATGGTGACAGGTTGGACATAGAACACTACAACAAATAACATTTTTTATGACGGAGCTAACACCTCAAACAATAAAAAAGTTAGGGTAGATTAGTTGGAGGGCAGATTAGTAATATCCTTGAGTGAGTTGGCGACTTGAAATAATGTTGTTATGTAAGGATGAAAATCATACACAAAAGTTGTCCTTTTTCACCATAAAATCAGGATAGTGGAATGGTAGTAGAATGGAACATTTTGATATGTACTATGTATTATGTCCCTCGTAAACTTTTGATCTTATCTTATGTACATCAGAGGCTTCTGGATAAAAATGTTTGCAGCATGAGTAGAAGAGTTTATCACTGGGTCTTTAGAGTCTTCAGAGTTTGTTCAGCAGAACCTTGTCTTCAGAGTCTTTAGCACTTAGTCTTCAAAACCTTTAGTCTTCAGAGTTTTCAGAACTTTGTTCAGCAGAACCTTGTCTTCATAATCTTTAGCATTTAGTCTTCAGAAGAGAACAACTTCAGAAGGTAGAAAGCATTTAGAAGTAAATCATCAGAGTCACACTCAGAGGCAGAATCTAAGAGAGCATTGCAGCACCAACATATTGTCTTCTTAGAATCTTTCTGAATGTGAGTAGATACAAAATTAGACTTGCTTATTTGACGTATAAGCGACTTTTGTCATACCAGAACGACGTTGCATATGGTCTCTATCAGAGTCAGAACCTGTTTATCAAATTTGTTTTCACACAAATACTACCTTGTTATTATCAAAATTCAAAGATAAATAGCATAACCAAATCTTGTTCTAACAATATCCCCCTTTTTTATAATGACAAAACAATGTATTTTGATGAAACAATTTCGTACAAAAATAATTAATAGGTGAAGAAGAGATACGTTTAAATATTTTTTCAGGCCTGATTCTTATCAATTATCAAAGCAGGTTCAAGGCTGGTTCTTATCAGAGGCATCAGATAATCATGATTGCCAAAGTTTCAATATCATTCCTGAAAAACATTCTAAGAAGGATTATGTGCATTTATTATGTTAGAATGTTAGGATAATGATTCAGAGAACAAGATATTTTTATCAAAATAATTTCTTCATTACTACTCCCCCTTTTTGTCATAATAAAAAAGGTAAACAAAACAAAAACAAGAAATAATTAAGGGGTAGCCTAGAAAGTGTCTAAGGTTGAGGAGGAGGAGGGAGCCTCTAAAGAATCTGAGCAAGCACATTCTGAATGTTGGATGTAACTTCATCTTGCTTATCCATTCTAGTTCTAAATAACTCTTGTTCCTTCTGAATACTTTCTAGAGTCTTTAATACAAGATCAGAAGTATGGTTATCAGAGCTTTCAACAACATTTAGATCATCTTCAGATTTCTTCATTTCAACTTCTCTCTCAAGAGCTTCCTTAGCTTGTCTTTCAGCTAATTCTCTTTTTGTAGCTAACTTTTCTTCAGCTTCTCTCTGAGCTTCCAATATTTTGTCTGCTTTCTGGATAAAGTGTTCTTTTGTTTGAGCAGAGAGATTTTTGATCTTTTGGAATTCCACAGACATCCATCGATTGAATCGATTCCAAGTAGCACCCAGAGTAGAAGGGTCAGTGCTAGAATTGGGTTCATCAGAAAGTTTTTAACTCTCCTAACTACATTGTCTTTAAAAATAGAAATGACTTCATCAAGTTTAGGAGGGGGAAGATCAGAAAATTGATGTTCAGGAAGTGTTTGGGTTTCTTCATCAGAAGCATCTAGAATGGAAAGTGTTTGGTCAGAGTCTGAATCAAAGTTTGTTTCTAGTGATGAAGGATCAAGATTATTAGAGATGGTTAGTGCGTTTATGTGTGGAGAGGTTGATGATATGGGTGATTGAGTGTTGGTTGTTGGAATACATTCTGTAGAAATTTCTCCAGAAATGTGTTGAGTGATGATGTTAGAAGTTAATGGTAAAGAGATGGTGGGAGTTAATTGAGTGGAAATGGTTTGAAAAAAAGGTTGTGTAAATGGTGCAAAAGATGGAAATATATGAGATGATTATGGTTCAGAAAGAGGAATGGATGAGGTTGTAACTATGGTTGAGAATATTTGAGGTGGTGTTGGAATAGATGAAGACATATTTCTATTAGTAAGAACAAATGCAGTCATAGAAGAGTTAGAAGACTTACTTGTCGGTTCTGGATAGGATGCCAGTGAAGGATTCTTCGTGCTGGCTTCACCCATATGCAAACCTTTCTTTTTCTTCTTAACAATCTTCTTTTGGGGGGTCTTGTTGTGGATTCTCTTTTTCCTCATCTGACCAGGGGGATTATCTGGTAGATTTTCATACAAGAATACAGATATATCATATCTGTCACGGATCTTAATGTACTCCATTATGGCTTATATAGAGTCATGTTTGGTGAACAAAGGAAATCCATTGATTATCATTCTCCTGGACTTCAAATTGTCCCAATCTGTAGTCATACTTGGTTCAACTCTTATTTCGTTTATAATTTGCATCCTCTTCAGATTTCTGCTATTCAGAGGTGTTCTAGTTATAATTTATAATTCTTCTTTGAAATTCAAATTTGCCTGATGATCAACCATACCACTTTCAATCAAAATATCTAAGATAAGTCTTCCAGGAGGAATGTAGTTTTTAGGCTTCTTTGCATCATTTATGGTTTCCCTGATAGAATCTCTGAGATATCTGAAGAGAATGGAAGAAAGGAAGATCTTTTCACCTTTCAACAGATAATACAACATGTATTTCTGATTAGTGTTGACGAAGTCAGGTGAACTTAATGATGGTCTATGATAGGTACAACTCAGAATGATCCTGAGCCAGACGCGAAGCTCTTTAGAAAAATCCTGACTCTTAAAGGGTGGCTTTCCATCAAATGATTGAGTAAAGATGGTTGGGTTTATCACTTTAGAAAGAAACTTTGACTTTGATTTCATTTTGTAGATACGTTTTCCACCAGTGTTCTCTATCCCAAGTAAGGTAGCGATAGATTTCTCTGTGATGGCAAATTTGTTTCCCAAAACATATGACACAATAAAGTGATCATCAACATCAGTAAACCTCC